ATATATATATGATCAGATATGAGTAAACACTTACTTTCACACCTTAACCTCCTCACAAAGAATGGCTCTCTCTGTGTTTGTGTCGATCACTTCCTGGTTGTCATGATGTCAAAACAACTGCAGTTTTACAAAAATACATTATTATGTTCATTTAGTTTACTGAGCTGAAATGTTTACTAAACATTTATGAATTTTCATATTTTACTAACCTGACCTGTGAGGACATTTTAATGTTGATTTCAAATAACAGCTAAAATAGTTACTCTTTAGAAAAAAAATATTGTAAAATTAAGAATCAGAACTGTTCATTTGATTCAACGRAATTAAATATATTTTATTCACTCATTATCCCATATGAAATGGTATTTATTTTCTTAATGAGATTTGCATAATGCTCATAAGTTTTGGTCCTTTATGTTTTACTGCATATGACAGTCATTTAAAGTGCGCTCGGAGCGCTAATCCCGTGCGTAATTACGCACATGGATAAAACAGCTTGACTTGTTTATGACATTTAGAGCGTATTTATTTTCAGGGGAGGTTAGTTTGGAGTTAGTTGAACACCCCCTCCTCTTCCTTCTCCACTTCATCTCTCTCTCTCTCTCTCTTCTTTTTTTCGTCTCTCCCCCTCTCTCTCTTTAGCTGCCGCGATATTTTCCAGCTCTGGAGCCTCAGCCGCGCAGCTCGATCGATTCGCATTGATTGTCCCTGACGAGCTGCTCCACTTTCTAGCCAATGTCAGCCAGTCTGCGATCGGGAAGGAGAGAAATGAAGGAAAATCTCTGCCGCCCTGGCGGTGTCATTTCCACACACTTGGGTTGGCCGCCTGCCAGCAGACAGGACGGAGGGAAGAAATGGAGTGGAGTCCTTGAGCAGCGGGAGCGGCTGGAGCGCCGCGGCTCGGGCTGAAGTTGTTGTTAGCTTTTCGCGTCATTGATGAGGAATATTCATTCATTTGGATCTTACAGGAGGAACACACAAGGACAAACTTCTGCTTTTACGCACGATCATCAACGCTCATCCAGGATTTTTAAATACTAAGAACTAATTTGATATTTGGATAACTATCACTGCCGCTGTCACCTGAAAAATAAGACGCACATGTAACAATAGAGACCGAAAACATTATTTTATTTTTATACCTTTATTTTGAAATAGCGTCTCTCTATCTCNACCCAGCTGTCCTGAGATCAACCTCGGAAGCGCGCGCGCGGCTGAGAAAAGTCCACTTCGGTTTTTCCGTGAAGCTCCAAAAATCTATGAAATGTGTTTGCATGTTCCTCTCCGCGAGCGGGGATGTAGAGAGAGAGGTGGGATCGCAAAAGGAGCGAGGAAGCTCGGGGAACCCACGCGCTCAGCCTTCGGAGAAAGTGCGCTCCTCGGCCGGGAAACAAACTGACATCAAACGTCTCCGGCTCCTTTCGGCGCCTGTCACCAGCGGACTGAGCCGGACTGCGCTCACGGAAAAGAAGCTTTTTTCTCTCCTTCTCCCCCCCATTGCCTCTGTTCTTGTTTTTGTCACCTCGTTCGGCTCGGCGGGCAGGCAGGCTGAGGGGGGGGACAGAGGAGGGAGAGAGAGAGAGGGAGAGAGAGAGAGAGGAGGGAGAGAGACGGACCGCTCGGACTCTAGGAGCCCTCCCCTCTGCTCGGATCTGCTGTGGTAGGTGCGAATAAAACCGGGGCCCGTGTTTGCAAATGTGCAGATAGATGGAAGAGGAGGGAGGTGTTGGGATGGACTGTTTGTTTATGTGTTTGTGTTGGTGGGYGTGAGGGGGGTTACACTTTGCTGGAAGTCTGAAAGTTGGGGATGTCACCTTTTGTATGGGATGAAGTTGTAGCAGAGGGTGCATCTGAACGGTTTGACAGCAGATCGCGGGCTAGTCCCGCTGATCAGATCAATTTCTTCTCTTCTTGTAAAAAAAAAATGCAAACCACTCTTTTTGGTTTCATAGCTGCTTAGACGCAAACACCCATAAAGTCCGATAATTTCTTCACTAATCAGCTGTTAATAAAAGCAAAATCCATCAGAACTGATTTAAAAATGAACAAACTAAACACTAAAGTGGTTTATTATAGTTTTAGTTTTAAAACTTTTATTTTTGCGCTTTACACTCGTGCGTAAAACCAAAATAAAACGGAAAAAAAAGCCCTAAACAAACTGCTTTTCTTCTGAATTCCTTTCCCCGGCTTTAGCTGGGGATCATTTGAAAGTTGCCAGGTAGGTTTTGACCCGTGAATTTACAGCCCCCCACCCCTTCCCC